GAGGTGGGTGAAATGAGGACTCGGATTGTTGGGGGGGCGATATGCTGACTCTGTAAACCGCTTAGAGAGGGCTGAAAGCCCTATGAAGCGGTATATAAGTCTAACTGCTATTGCTATTGCTATATCCCCCCCCCTCCCCAGGTGCACATTAATAACATTGTGTATCACTCAGTCATCCACTAAACCTCTCTACACTGTCTCTGGATGGCTAACTGTCCATCAGCAGACATTAAGCAGAACGATAAACAGACATTATCTTGTTATGATAATGGTACAGCCACTTTATATGGACGAAACAATCTAAACTAACTTGCAATGTTTACAAGAAAGCAGTGCAGTGATCAAAGGAAGCTTATATTCAAACCACACTGTTATTGCTTTCTTGTAAGTAAAAACAAACAAACATTGGCCTTCAGTAGATCCCGCCCTGAATGAAAGGGCAGACTTTAAAGGTATTAAGCACAATTTTTGTGTGCAGATATGTATGTTGAGAAGCCCGCGTTGCTATGATTCACACAAATCATTAACTCGTAGTTAGGCAGAAAGGAAGCTTGGCAGGTCTTAAAATATCCCTTCTTTCTTCTCCATAGGCAAGCATTTAACAAGCATCCTGCTTTCCCTTAAGCCTAGTTGACCATGTCAGCTCAAGAAATCATGGTTTAAAGCAGGCTCTGGGAAACCATACCTTCACCACCGTGTTCACCAGCAGAACTAGCAACTCGTGATTTTCATGCAGAAATAAAGAGATTGCCAAATAACCTAAGAAAAAGGGGGGAAATGTTCTGCATTAGGACACCAAATACTTTCCACCTCTCTCTAATCCACAAGTTCAGATCAACTTATAGCAGGGGTGTCAAACTCAAGGCCAGATCCGGCCCGCGGGGTGCTTAGAACCGGCCGGTGGGGCTCCCCTGGAAACAGCAAAGGACCAGCCTGTGGTGCCTCTGCCAGCGAAAACAGAGCTTGGGAAAGCCTTGCGCGGCCCTCCCAAGCTCCTTTTTCGCTGGCAGAGTGTTGCAGGAGGCCGTCGTGACCGAAATCGCAGCTCGGGGTTGGCAGAGGGCTAGCAAAACAAACTGGGGGGAAAAAAGGAGAAATGTTTCCTCGTTTGCATTTGAGCATCAAAGAAGGGACAGTAAAGGAGAAAGGGGAAAGAGAAAGAAAAAGATGGAAAGAGAAAGAAAGGAAAAATAAGGAAAGAAGGAAAGGAAAAAGAAAGGAGAAGGAAGTGGGAGGGAGGGAGCAAAAGAAGGAAGGAAGGAAAGAAGGAAGGAAGATTATAATGAGAGGGAGGGAGGGTCTGAGGGAAGTCCTGCCTTAGCACTTGGCCACAGGTGCCCCCGACACAAGCTGGCCATGCCCACCAGAGGTGGGTTCCTACCAGTTCGCACCAGTTCAGTAGAACCGGTTCGTCAAATCTACCGAACCAGTTAGAAGAGGTTCCACCAGAAAGCAGGCCACACCTACAGAAGAGGTTCCAAAATTTTTTGAAACCCACCACACACACACACACACACACACACACACACAAAGAGAGAAAGAGAAAGAAAGGAAGAAAGAAAGAAAGAAAAAAGAAAGAAAAAGTGAGAGATGAAAGAAAAAAAGTAAAAAGGGACAGA